TCCCTTGTGATGTGGAGAGCCAGATACAATATTATTATTATTATTATTATTATTATTACTATTATTGAAAAATATAAAACTTTACCAGAAACAGGAAAGCAGGGAACTGACTGATGCACAAGGATGTCCCCAAGAACATACTGATAATTTTTCAGAATGTGATTTGTCTCTCTTTTGGCATGCAAAACAAAAAAAAAAAACAATCCTCCCCCAAAAAACAAACCAAAACCCAAACCCAGAATATTCCCACATCTAGTTTTAATTTTTTTTTCTCTTTTTTTTTCTTCTAAATTCCTTTTTTTTTTTGCTTCAGCCTTTGAGAAGAAAGGGTTATCATCAATGCCACATCAGTAAGCATGATACCCTCAGAGTGTGGCACAAGAAGACAGGCTGTGCAGTTCCTGTCTCCTGAAGAGCAAGAATTTTAAGAATGAGGATCTGAATTTTAAGAAGAGGAAGAGAAGGAGGAGGAGGTGGTGCGTGGTATTTTCCAAATTATTACACTTCCTGACGCCAATCGTTTTTGCCCTCCAAAAATTTCTCTGCTGTGCTTCTTGGCCAGAGATGGGAAAGAAAAGCTGACCCAGGGCATGGGTGGTGACCCAGAGGTACAAGAGCAGCAGGTAAGAACTGACCTGCAATGGAACAGAGGAGCCCTGAGGAGGAACTGTGCTCAGTGGTACAGAGGACAGAAATAACACATTTATTTCATTGTTGCATCATCCATCTGATTTTAAATGTAATTATTGCTGTGATTTCTGTGTTCTGCTTTGTGCTGTATGAGCTCCTCCACTCACAAGTGTGAGCTGTGTGACTATGGAAGGTCCTGGATGACCTCTACATGTTGTTTACAACCCTACTGTTTATCACTCAGATTTGCAGCAGCACTTGGGATGTTTAAACATCCCTGTTTACTATATTTTCCCAGAGCTGTAGCTAAAGCCATTCCCAGGGGTTATGTATGACCGTCTTTCAGATTTCCTGGGAGAAGTTTTGAAGGATTGGCAGACCTTGACTCGTCCTTCCTTGTCTGGGTGATGACACAGCAAGTGCCTGCCTTGAAAGTTCACTCCATGGGCAGAACATGGGCAGCACATACTTCTTGTGCTTTTTTCCAATTTCGTTGTGAACAAGAGGGACAGCTTCAAAAACTAATGAGTGCAATAACAATTCACACATTTAAGGAGGAGGAATCTCCACTTCTCTCACTTCTAGTACCTTGGTGGCCCACACCTACGTACTCCATATGGCAAGAGCACCAGGCTGATAATCTGCTACAGTAAAGACATTTTTAAGACGTCCTTGTGCGTTATTCTTGCCAAAGAATGGCTGTAAAAGTGAGCTCATTTTTTCATGGTTGACAGAGGCACTGGTAAGAGACAAAAAGGAGTTAGTTTGCTCATCCTGTACTTTATCTAAGTTTACAGTGAGGCCAGATTAACTGGTTAGTGCTTTCCTCTGTGGGCTCCCTGTCGTTCAATATGATGTAGGAGAAATGGCTCATAGAACACATCAGCAAGAAATAAGTGTGGATATATTTGATACAGAATCATAGAATGTTACGGGTTGGAAGGGACCTTAAAGATCACCTAGTTCCAAGCCCTCTGGCCATGGATAGGGACACCTCTCACTAGACTAGACTTCTCACCATTAATTCAGCTAAGCCTGAGGGCAGCTATTCCCATGGTATGACACTCAGCAGTTGAGCAGAGTACTGAAAAATACTGAAAACAAGCAAGGAAGGTGATTATTTTAAATATGCCTCATGAAATCATGTGTCTCTGGGTGCTGCAATCCTTGCTGCTACTGCTGTTTCAGCTTCTGGGATAGTCCAAGTTTAGCCCCTTCTCTTCCCCTCTTTCTCTCTTTCTGCAGAGATGTTGATATCACTGAAATCACCCTGGAGAAAACAAACAAATATCAGCTCCTTAATTCTTTTGAGGGCTAAGGCCAGCCCCTATAACATGCAAGCTTCCCCTCAGCCACTTCAAGCCACAGGAAGGAGAAGGAAAATCAGCTCAAACAAAAGGCTCAAGCCCTGGAATGCAGGCAATGCTCAATTATTTGTAGATGGAGGATTGGCTAAACTCCCACTCTGAGAAAAGAGGATATACATATACATTAAAGATACTGCTAGCTTGGAAACACACAGATGCTTCAGGAAACAGTGTGCTTCCTTCCATGGGTATTTCTTGGCCTGATAAAAGTCCCTCCCTACAAACCTTGGGAATAGGTCATCTTGGCTATAACAGCACTAGTACTTAAAAAACAAACAAATAACAAAACAACCCCTCCAAAGTACCCCCATTAAAACAAAACCAGCCAAACCAAACCAAAACAAAGCCCACTGTGAACTTTTATAGCTTTATACTACACTGCTCCTTATTTTTTCAGTTATAGCTATCACAGGAAGAGTTTAGAGCTTAGTCTATGTATATTTGCTGTTATACTTTCAGGGGGATAAATAAAAGGTAACTGTGCTGAAGAAATGAGTCTTAAGACAGCGTGACAAATGCATTCATTGCTACAGATTAGGATGTCCTATTTATTTACGTTAAACCAGTGGGAAGCAATATTTTTTTTATTCTGTCTGTGCATCCAAAATGTCAAGAAAACGGTCATACAGAGCTGTCCTACTTTCCAGCTGTCATACAGCTGGAATATTGTGCCTGGGTAAGTGAAACCCTGCACAGAACATTGTTCACCAAGTGCCCTCTGCTGGCTTTTTGTTCCCCCAAAGAAATGTCTCTATTGTAGCCACAAACCGAAGGGTCAATCAATCCCCAACCCTTATTTCTGCTTTTAGAACAAAAAAAGCACTGCTGTCAAATTTGTGAGCACTTGCAACAGCCCACAGAGCCACGTTTCATAAAACCGGGTTTGTGTGGAACCACAAAGGAGGCAAAAGGGGGCAGGAAAAAACTCAGCTCCTCCCACACCCCCCAAATTAACCCCATCACAGCTCTAGGAAAGCAACACAAGCAGGAACACATTTATCACAACTCCCTTTCAGCAGGACAGAGCTCTTAAGTGCTTCCTGAAGATAAGAAATGCCAGGAATCCATAAGCCAGGTGTTCTGTGCCTCCTCACGGGGGCTTGGAGAAGCCTCTTTCACTTCTTATTTCTGATGGCATTTAGCAGAACATATTAATCATAAACTTCCATCCACTTGGCTCAAAGCAGCAAATCCCCTCACCAGCTCCAAATAGCTCTTTGGAAGGAAAGGAAAGGAAAAACCCAGCTTGGCAAGCAAATGTCTCTATTAATAATTCTCAAAACGCACATGGAATTTCCCTCCAAATTTACACTGGCTGAAAGCCAAGATGACAATCCTCTCTCTTCTGCTGAAGACAGCCTTCCAACAAACAAAACAAGACAGCCTTCTATCAATAAAACAAAAACAAAACACCTTGAAAAATGTGTGTATCAAAGGTTTGTAGTCAGCACATTACTGTGAAATTAGAGAGAATGAAAAAAACAAAAGGCAATTCTGCTACATGATTCTTTCTCCGTTAAAAATCCATTATCTCTAAATTCAGAGATATTAAATAAAGGTAAAAAGAAGGTCTAAAAGGTGAGTACCTCTGAAAAGAAAACTTTGTCCTAGATTTCCCCAGTCCACATTTGTTTGTCCCATCCCCACTAAAAGCCCAAGCTTCTAGCAGTGGCAGCAGTGTGGGTAGCTCGCTTTTTTTACTGCCTTGAAACCTGTTTCAGGCCCTGAGGATGGAGCTGGATCCTTGGTAACTCTTCTCATAACTCACAGGCCAGCCCTCAAACAGTCACTGGTTTGAGGTCATCATCTGAGAATGTTGCTGTTGTTTAGCAGTGAGCTGTCACACCACATTAGGTGAGCTGTTCGATTTGCACACTTGACTGTCAGCATGTGCTCCTGGGACAATCCAGCCTGGAATTCACCAAGTCAGGGATGAACAGGAAGGTATACAGAGGATTATTGGCATCTTCATGGCTTGGGTGTCTGGATTCAAGGGAGAATGCCAGGGGACTGTAAAGAGGCCCCATCTGGATGATCTAACCACCAACATGCAGCAGCTGGTCACTGCATGGCAACAGCAATGTTTTTGAAAAATCATCACTTCTCAGGGCACCTGAGTCTAAGATTCAGAATCTGAGAAAGCTTTGTGCCACCACAGCTGCACTGACCATGAAACTGTAGATGGGAGAAACCCTAAATTCATACACATAACCCTGCTGTGGCGAGGGAGTTAATGGGAAGATTTAACTCAGAGGAAGAGCTGAGCTCAGTTTAGACCACTCTTGAAGTAGAGGAAGGTACTGTTAGCACAGGCAGCAGCTGTTCTCCCTCTGCCCTTTGAGGATTTAAACACCATTTCTGTTTTGTGATACTTTCTTATGTTACCAAATTTCTTTGAAAACTCCTGCTGATGTAGGGAAGACATGCACTTTAAAAAGTTGCTACATTTTATATGAACAATGACCTCCCATACTCTGCTAATCCTCCGTGTATAAAATTGATACTAAAAACATCCACTTTGCACACGAAAAGCTCATAAAGTTTTTGCACTCAATTATATACTGGATGTGTTTTAAATTCTGTTTCTTACCAACTTGATAATTTCATGAAGAATTTGATGGATAAGCAAAAAAAGGTTTCAGAGGATGTCCAAAATCCACTTCATGAACCATGCCTGCTACCAGGATGACTTGGTTTCTGTGTGTGATTCCTCACTGGATGTGGTGATCTGCACAGGGAATCTCTGTGAAACCCCCCAAGAAAACACTGCCAGCTTTGAAGAAGAAAATCCAAATCATCTGAATCCAAACATGGGGGTTTTTTAGTCACAAAAAATTACAGGCTACAGTAAAACTTCACTCCTTCTCTTTGTCATTTCATAATGTAATTTCACAGATTCTGCTGGATTCTATATGGAAAAAATGTACCAAAGAAGTGAACTGAAAAGCAGAGAAACTGCTAAAATGCACCAGCCAAACAAAAAGTGAAGCGACAAGGATGACATAAAGGAAGAAATTAATTTATTTATACATCATTATTCCAGACATTCAATAACACTTCTTTGGAGAAAGCTTTATTGCCCTAAAGCAGGGGAAGTTAGGATAATCTGAGGCTGCTTTTTCCATCCACTGCTAGTCATACAACTGCTTTAACACAGATGCTGTCCTTGGAAGTTGTGCGTCACATCAGCGGATATTTTCTCCTTCATTTCGAGACCTTTTAAAACTATAATGGGCCAATGGATGAATTTTTCAAAGTGCTACTCTTGTGGCAGGTAGGGTGTGTCCTGCTGCTGATTGATATTCAGAACAGCTTTGTGAAAACAGGATTCTTTGAATTGGAAAAAACAAAATATAATCTTTTAATTAATACCAAGCTAAATTAAGATGTGGAAGATGTCTATGCCCTCAACAGCTGATCCTGGCTTGTAGTTCACAGACACAGGCCTGGGCATATAAACCTTGAACCATGCACTCATTCCTCTCTATTCCCATTCTTCAATCACCACATGTGCTGCCACTACACGTGCCAAATCCCTACAAATCATCTGCCCTCAGCTTCTGAAAGGGCCTCCAGGTCTCTTTTGCCTGTTAGAACTGGCTTGACACTGGTGCATCGAGAGGACTTGTTCCAGAACATATCCACACGGCTCTCTCCAGCTGGAAAAGCTCAAAAAAAAATGCTCTGTGTCTCAGGCCAGGCTCCTTGTCCTCTGTAAGGCCCCTCCCTCAGAAAGGCATGGAAATTCCTGCAGCTGGGAATCAGTCAGCTTGGTATCAGCATTCACTAGAGTGTGAACAGGTCAAGCAGGTGAAAACGTTCCCATTGGTCCATGATATATTTGATACTACGCCCTAAATTTAAACATTTCTGGTGTTAGTTTTCTTTTTATTTGCCAGTTAGTTGTAGCACATTCTTCACCATTGCCCCAATGCCATCGAAGATTTTGTGTAATTCTGTTTCACACATAAATGCTGGGGTAGTCACCACCTTGTTTTTTGTATCCACGTGAGCTTCGTAAAAGGGAGTTAAGGAAAACACAGATATTTTGTGTCTGCAAAAGGAACCAGCGCTGACAAAACCTCTCAGCTCCAATATCCCATAAAAAATCACCTCCAAATATGTTATGCTATCCAGCTGTGAAGACAGCTGCAGTCTATAATCCAAGACAGTAGAAGCTGTTTTTGCCAGAAACACAAACACCACAAGAGAAATCTGTGGATACACAAGAAAACCCACAAAACTCACTGATAGTAATAAGATGTCTCAGGGTACAGTCTGATTGCAGCATTAGCCTCCAGGAGAAGAATAAAGATCTCAAAGAGAACTGACCAGTTGTAACTGGTGCCAGTTTTATGTGCAGCTTCACTCAGTATTTACTGCATTTCCAGGTGTCCAAGTGATTTCTAAGGCAACAACTGAGAATGACACCCTAACTCACAGCTGTGCAGTTACAGAGCTGAGCACAGAAGACTCTAATCCTGCACTGCATCAAATGCTATCTGCTTCACATTATATATTCCCATGAAACTCTAAGTGGAAAAGCCCAGATCCTACAGGTATTCATTCCTTTCATGACACGTTTCCAAACTGTCTCTCAACGTGGAAATCATCAGGAAAGGATATGGTTACGTCTTTCACACAGTGCTTTGCTCCCAGCTCTTTGATGGCTCCTGCAGTCCCAGCATAAGGCCACTTGCCACCTTCCTCTTCTTCGTGGCCCACAGTTACTTCAGCACCAGAGAGAACCTTTGCTGCCAACACTGGGGAAATGCAGCACAGGCTGCAACAGAAGGAACTGTAAGTGCAATTCTACACTCCTCCAAAACTTGCTAATAACTGAAAAGACTCAGATGGACGCAGCCTTACACATCTGAAAGACATCACAAGGCAACTTCCACTCAGAATTTTCTCTGCTGCTTCTCTGACAAACACCTACACACACACACATCTTGAAAAACATACGTACCCAATCGGTTTGCCCGCTTTGTGGAAGTCCTTCAAGACTCGCTCAACTTCTCTGTTCACCTTGCAATCTTTCCCATCAACAGCAAAGGTAGATCTGTCACAGGAAGAAACTTTATGCATAACTCAGTATAAACCTACAGAGGTACCTGCCCTGAGACTGGCTCCAAAGGGTCATCACAAACTTAACACGCTTCTAAAAGGTGGTTGAAAAAGCCTCTAGTTCAACATCAGTGCTTTAGCCAAAATGCTGCACTTCCCAGGCTTTGGTCTGTCAGAAAGTTCCTTACTTGACACAAACATCTAGAAACAAGAATTATGAAATCAGCTTTCTAGGATTACTGAGAAGTGGAACAGCAATCTTTTCAAAGAAGAAATAAAATCTATAGAAGAAAAGGGAAATAACGTTCATGTTTATCAAAGCAAAAAAGACCTAGTATCTTTTAACTAGCCGTTGTATTATCATTACTAATGCAAGAGGGGATTTTTTTGGTAGGCAGACAGGAAGAAACTGAATAATAACACTACAAACACCTGAAACTACTGAAGTTCTACCTTCACTTCCCTCAGTCCCAAAACAAAACATCTCTAGGTGTAAGAAAACACATAAACTCCAGAATTCTCACCATCATTGTTCAGAAAATTTAAAACAAGACAAGACTTTAAAAGGAGTTTTGCTTTTGAAGTAGGAGTTATATATGTAGTAAATAAGGCCATTTATTGCTTCCTGATTTTACTGCGTGAATCATAGTTCAAAGAATCACAGAATGGTTTGGGCTGCAAGGGACCTTAAAGGTCATCCAGTTTCAATTCCTCTGCCATGGGCAGGGACACCTTCCACTAGACCAGGCTGCTCAGAGCCCCATCCAACCCGGCCTTGAACACTTCCAGGGATGGGGCATCCACAGTTTCTCTGGACAACGTGTTCCAGTGCCTCACCACCCTCACAGTAAAGAAATTTTTCCTAATATGAAGCCATTTTCCCTTGTCCTGCCACTCCAGGCCCTTGTAAAAAGTCCCTCTACATCTTTCCTGTAGGCTCCCTTCAGGCACTGGAAGGCTGCAATTAGGTCACCCCAAAGCCTTCTCTTCTCCTAGGCTCATTACAAAAAGTTAATTAGTAGTATTTAGTTGAGGAGTCTAATGCTTAGTTGGCACTCACAAGTTTTTGGCAGCTCCAAATCCACCAGGGAATATCACAGCATCATGGTCTGCTGTGGTCAGCTTAGCCAGGCTTGCAATTTTACCACGAGCTATTCTTGCAGACTCCACTAAAACATTCCTTGAAGAACCAGAAATAAAACAATGAGATTAACCAAGAATCTGCACACAGAATAGCAGGAATAAAGTTTTGTCAGAGGATGAGGAGGAAGGGAGGGAGCAAGAAGAACAGTGGTATTTAATAACTGAAGTTATTGATACTTCTAAAATACTACTACTGGAAAACACAGGCACTGAGAGACTGTATATAGTAAAGTCCAGAAAACTCATTTAATATTTTCTCTCCAAACAGAACACCGGCTGGCATAAAGCTACCAGAGGCACTCAGCAAAGTGCTACAAGTGCTGTTAGAGGCTGCTGTGTTTGAAGACCAAGAGACTGAGGCTCAGCAGTCATGGAAAACACACAAACCACAGACTTACCTTGACTCAGCTTCAGCTGGTTGCCCTTTACTGTGGTCGATAACATGCATCTGAGGAACATCTGGAGCATACATGTGAACCTCAGCTCCCCCACGGCTAAGGTGCACCAGCACACTATGGAAAAGGAGACAAAACGTGCAGAAAACCTCTAAAGAGAGGCTTTACCTGGCCCCTCAGTCTTGCTACAGATATTCCACCACCTGATTTTGAAAGAAGAGGGGAAAAAAGACACATCCTACCAAAGCATACTGAGCAGAGAGCAGCCAAATCCCTGTGTGGAACACCAGAGTGCAGAGCAGAACACAAAGACAGTTGGGAGGCAGGGTCAGGTAAGATGGAGACAAGTTATTTTGTTTGGTGCTTTTAAGAAGCCAAACAGGAACAATAATAACTTCCTTTCTCCAATTTCCAAAGTGTTATGGAAGAGTCCCACACTTAACATACCCATGTATACATTTAACTTAGGCCCAGATGAAACACCTCTTATTAATTCTCAGCAGGAGTTAATAATTCAACTTAAGTATTAACAATTCAACAGTAAGTAGTAACAGGAACAGAAACTCAAACTGATTATGAAATTAAGTCTGTACTTAATTCTCTTGAGATTGATTCTGGACCTCTGAATTTCTGTTTCTGAAGAAAATACTCTCAAACTCTTTGCTCTGGCATCACACACATTGTGCTGCATCTTTGGACGATCACTGAGTACTGCAAGAACGCAGCCTGAGCTCCCAGTTATGCTGTGAGAAAACTGTGAAGCTTCATCACACATCTTTCAGGGTTAATTTTGATGGCCAGAGACAGCAAAACTAAATTAAACAGACTGCTGCAATGTAAAAGAGACTATTGGAGCCTAGTTCATAAAGCAGCTTACGCTGATGCCTCATGGATTTCTGTGCCATCGTAGACGCCACAACCAGACAGGACCTGCAGTGAGAAAACCAAGAGAGTATTTCAGGTGACACAAAACTTCCTACAGGATCTTTCACAAGGTAAGATGAAAACAAACGAACAAAAAAGGATCAACAAACAACAAAAAACCTCCCTTCAGCCCCCAAAAGAACAACTTGGCAACAAGGTCTTTACTAATCCAGTGAACATGATGCTGTGAGCACTGGAGTCACCATTTTGACACACTGCAGAACCAGCATTTCCTATTTATAGCAACCCCTCACAGGGCTCAGAAATAACCAGTGTTTATTTCCTGGCTTATACATTTATTCCCCAGGTAATAAACTGACATGTTATCCTTAGGTATGTTTTTACTGTGCACACAGTGGGTTGTTTTCAGTGTCATACATCTTTTTAATGAAGTGTCCGCATCCATGGGAATCACCTTCTCATCCAGATGCTCATCAATCAGAAGTGGGATAAAAGTGCACTTCGAGGTAGCGCTGAGGATAAACTACTTTACCTGCTGCTGTATTTTGTCTGAGGATCTGCATCAGAGATCAACAGCCAAATAACTTTCAATGCAATAGTGCAATTATGCTGTATTGGCCATGCTTTTCCTTCATAATACTGCTAATAATACTTTAAATTTGTTTATACACACTGGAGAATAAAAAGCACAATCAATCATCTACCTTTGTGTGAGCGAAGAGTCTTCGACAAAGTGGAAAGAGAAAAAACATTGAAAAAACAAACCAAAACAAAACAAGAACAAAAAACAGGGACAAAAGCCATTATAAGAACAAAGTAAAACCAAAAAAAATCCAAAGGGTTATGTAGTTCCTGAAAGTATATAGATGAACTCTTGTGGGTTTTTTTGTTTGGCTGTTTGTATTGAAAGAAAAAAATCCAGTTAGGAAGTCAATTTCTTTTCCTCTTTTTTTTTTTTTTTTTTTTTCTTTTTATTTCACTTTACTGTCTTACCTCCTGGGTTTACCTCAGTTTTTTGAAGCTCAAAAGCTTTTAATCACAGACACACGAACAGAAACTCAGAACTGAAACTGTCTTAGTTAGAAATGCTAAAAATGTTACACTTGAAGGGGCTTTCAGGCCCCAATACCCAGTTCTCTGCTCCCAGGGACATGACATGCCACCACCACTTCACTAAATGAGCAAAATCCATGAACATCCTTCTGTCCATGTTAATCCCGTTCTGATATTTAAGAGCTGCCTTTGACTTCACAACCTTTTTATCTTTCCTTTATTTTAGAGTGAAAAAATAGATAAGCAACTGTGCTGTAATTATCTTTCATAAGCAACACTTTTTAAATGTTGTTGAAACTCACTGAAACCGAAGCACTAAAACACTGTCCTCTTCTGTTATTTCAGTACCCTCGTGGTGCCAAATCTGTCTCCTACCACAGTCAGAAATTTATGTCACTAAATGTCAAAAATAACATTTGTTTCCTCCCCTCTGTTTAAAAAGCTGTTACTTGCTAAAACGACAGCATTCTGGTGGGTTATCTGTTAGCCATTTGGACCAGCATTCTGCCCATTCCAGAGCCAACTCTGCCCCAAACAGATTTCTTTACGTATGTAATGCCTTCTTATTTCTTTATGTTTAATGCCGCCTAGACTATGAAAAGCTCAAGCTTCAAGGGCCTGAGCTCCAACACTGTGTGTCCATATGGGACACCATCTACAGCCTTGATTTTCCTTTGGCAAGCTCTGGCTCCTCCATCTCCTAGCTTCCTTTTGTATTTCTTACACGCTTTACCTCCTTCCTGCAGAAGAGCACAACCCAGCCTAAATATTTTCCTGTGCACTCTCAGGACCTCCCCCAGTCACACCACAAACTATTTCAAGTTCTCCTGGGCTCCTCAGTACAAGAGAGACACGGAGCTCCCAGAGCAGGTCCAGCAGAGGGAAACGAGCACGACTGAGGGACTGGAGCATCCTTCTTATGAATAAAGGCTGAGGGAGCTGGGGCTGTTCAGCCTCCAGAGCACACACTGAGAGGGGACCTCCCCCAGGTCTGTGGGGTCTGCAGGGAGGGGGCAGAGGATGGACCAGGCTCTGCTCGGGGGGGCCCAGCAATGGCACAAGAGGAACGGGCAGGAACTGATGCCCAGCAAGTTCCACCTGGACAGGAGGAAGAACTTCTTTGCTGGGCAGTGACCGAGCACCGAACAGGTTGCCCAGAAAGGGTGTGGAGTCTCCCTCACTGGAGATATCCCAGAACCGTCTGGACACAATCCTCGGGGATGGCCCTGCTGGAGCAGGGAGGTGGGACCAGATGACCCCGCTGCGGTCCCTTCCAACCATTCTGTTGTTCTTTATAAACCAACTCCACGCCAGCAACAACTCCGCAGACGTCAATTTTTTACGCCTTTCCCCACTCCTGCTCTGTCCTCCTCCAAGTTTCTCAGCTCTAGGCGAGCCTTTCCCGGCCCCCTCCTCGCACTCGCCCCACCGCGGGAGAGACCCCCCTGCAGAGCCGCCTCTCCTCGGCACGGGCCGAGGGCAGACGGGCAGAGCCGGGCATAGAAAAATAAACCCACCGCGCTCCTCCTCAGCGCGGCCCCCGCGGCTCCTCCATTAACTCACCACAGCGACGCGGGCGGAGCGGCGGTGCCGGGCGGAGCAGTGGAAGGAGGCGAGGCCGGCGGGTCCCGCCGCCCGCCGCAGAGCGGTGCTCAGGGCCGGGCCGCAGGAGGTCAGCATGGCCAGGCGGTGGGAGAAGGGAGCGGAGGAACCGGGAGCAGGAACGGGGAGCAGGTCGGGGGAAAGGCGGGCGGGGAAAGGGAAAGGCCGCGCTCCGAGGCCGCCGCGCCCTTGGCGGCGCCCCCTGGAGGCCCGGAGGGGCCCCTGAGGGCCCTTGTTCCCGAGCCTTCTTTTACTGGGAATAAAAGTGAAAAAAACCCCCACGGAAATAAACCCTCGGGACTTGTTTTGAACACAAACCTTGCAGCAAGAGGCACCTAGGCCAGAGCTCTTAACGAAAATGGGGTAAACAACACATGTCAGCTGCACTGCTGCCTCTCTGGGACCCTGTGAAACACTGGTTTTTAGTGTTTCTTTTACCCTTCTCGTTCAGTTTTTACTTTTTCCTTCTTTATTAAGGAAACCAAACTCCAGACATAACGAGAAATTTCCTCACTGAAGGCGCTGTCAAGCACTGGAATGGGCTGCCCAAGGGGGTTGTGGATTCACCATCCCTGGAGGTGCTTTTGGACGTGGCACTTTGTGCATGGTCTGGGTGATAAGGTGGTGATCGGCCAAAGGCTGGACTTGACGATCTTGGAGGTCTTTTCCAACCTAATTCATCCTGCCACATTATTATATCTCATTAACAAAGTCATTTCAATGAAAGTATTACAAGCACAGATACAGTTCTTTGTTATTCAGGATCTCACTGTTGTTAGTGGTCAATTTTCCCACCAATTCATAAAAAAAAAAAACCCAAGGAAATAAAAAGTCCAGATTTTAATGTGCTAGTAAACAACATAAAAAACTCCAACAAAACAAGGAAAAAGTTTTGATCTGAAAAAATAAAAACAAAACCCAACCACATTTGTAACACATTCTCTTAAAGTTTAAATTACATTATTGAGTTGGTATTGTCTGAACAAATTTTTTACTACCGTTATCTCGAGGTTCTTAATTAAACCTCTTCAAGATTTGTACATCACAGTAAATAATTCTTTCATAGTCATTGCTATGGATGTAACATTTATCCTCATTATTGAACCTTCATCAGATTTGGAAGTTAGAGAACTAAGAAAACTGTTCCAGAAATATGTATATATTAAATCCAAGTAAAGCAACATTTAAAACAAGTTGAGAGCAACAGACATACCTCCAATTAAGAATGATTTTTAAAAAGGATAAAAAAACCAGTCCAATGTATGACAAGACTGCATTACAAAACTCACAAAACTTAACGTACAAAGCACTTCTAATAAACTTCTTCCAGCCGTACTTTTAACTTCACTAAGAATACTTTTTTTTTTCCTTGTTTGAAATCAGGAATTATTAAAAAAAAAAAAAAGAAATCAACAAGAAATCAATGCTGTTGAGTTTACAGCCAAAGGGTACACAATTTATGCCACGGATGGCACTTTGCCTATCCTATTCCTCCCCCCCAACTCACATGTAACTCCATCCACATCGTTGGGAAGAGCTCAAATGATGCCACTATGAGGGCCACTCATTCTCAGTGAATACCACTGCATAAAATACTGCCTGAGGTTTTTTCCCCTCTCATGCAGAGTAACTAGGAACTCAATTTGTCTTTATGAACCTCTCTCATAAGATAATCGCTGTCAGAATCCAACTCTTCTTCATCTACTGATGTTTCTTCTGCCAGACGTTTCATGCCCCGCTGTTGTGAAATGGCCAGGGCGTATTTGATGTTGTAGATGTTCCATTCACAGCTGTCAAAATAAACAGGAACATGTGAGAAACAAGATTCTGGTCTCCTCCAAAATAAAAACACTTCTAGCAGAAGGCTGCCTCAAATTCTCTGGTTCTAATAACATGCTTACTCCAAGTTTTTGATTTAAAAGTTTAAATGTAACAACACGTACAGTTTTGAAACATCTTCGAAATGACGCTGGATGCTTTTCTGGAGGAACTGAATCACAGGGAGCAGCTTCACTGACCTGGAATGGAGAAAACACACAATTTGCAGTGCAATTCATTTTTACATATGGAAATCCTTTTTGTAGTCTCTAGATTTTAACAAGCATACATGTTAACTTTTCAGAGCAAACTTTGTAAGGTATACTAAATAAACAAAAGCTGTTTGCTTTTGACTCTTCCCTCAATAAGGTCACAGTACTCAACACAAGTAATACAAGCAATATAATGTAATAATAAGTAATACTCGATACAAGCAATGCCAGAAATATCTTCTTCTAATGTCAAACTGCAGCTTGAAGAACTAATTCTGCTTGCTGGTAGCAATGACAGTTCCTTCCCAGTACTACAACACTTTCTGAACAAGGAAGAGTTTGTTTTAAATCATCCTCTTCTACTTGAACAGCAACAAAAGGAGAAAATTTCTTCCAGTCATTCCAGTAACTAAAACATTAATACCAACGTTGAAGCAAGGACAGAGTTACACAATGCACTGGTGTTTAACCTGCAGGACTCTCTCTCATATTATCTCTCAGCCCATTTTAAATTTGTACATTTGCCTTATTTTGTTCCTAAATGCCCATAAATTCTATACTATGGGTGGGCTGAATATAATTCACAGACCAGGCACAAGCAGTGGTAGAGAACTATATAGGAAAGCTGAGTACTAGCAGCTAAGAGTTCATGCTCTAATCACAAGCTTTTATATATATATATATATATGTATTTTATATATATATATACTTAAAAAATAGTTATAAAATAAGTGCAGTCAGTACCTGCCAATTACCTTTCCGTGACATTTAAGATACATAATTGTTTAAAAACTCAATTGTCAAACCTACTGTAACTCTTGAAATCTTTATGTATTTATAGGCTAAGCAAGCTGTGCAAAGCTTTATCTGTTAGACCTGAAAATGTTTTTGCAGTATATTTTCACAAATCCAGTAGTGTATTCCAGTTCTATCATATACACTTTTTAGAAGCATAAAAACATTCAGGTTGGAAGAGATCTTTAATATCAAGTCCAAACCATTACTTTTAACATTAGTAAAGAAATTGTAAAAATTAAATAATTGTTGTGTATGCATTATCTAGAACGTCAGTAAGTGTTAAGTAAAAACTGACAGGTTTTAATTTTAATATGCTTGTGAGCATTTAGACTTTCACAAGATCTCACCTTGTTTTCAGTTTCTGCCCATGCAGCATGAGCAGCTTATGAGCCCAAATAAGATAGAACTCTAAGTGACACGAGGTCTCAAACGCAGAGGCCAGGAACTCCAATAATTTCTCCACATACAGGTCTGGGAGCGATGAGCAGACAACATCAACTGTGCAAGAAGGGAAAAAAGCCCAGAGACATTCAATAGAGTTGAATTACTATCTGGAGTAACATGAAAGAGACCATGGGAAAACATAAGGGGAAGGAGAAGGTGGCACTGTCTTGGCAATTGTTTGATATTTAGAGCTGTAATTCAGGTTAAAGTACCACAGTCTCTCAGGAGACAAGTCTTCCCTCTTTCAGCCTTCCAATCACTCCTGTATATAAAAGCAAGAACTCTTCCCTCCACAAGTTCTTCCTCCTAACAGACAATTATCCCTACTAGCCCTCCTTCGGAACTTCAACTTTCCCCGTCCAATCCTACTCTTTCATTGTAACAGACTTTAGTCAAGTCTGACTTCACACAAATTTCTGTATTCAGTGGAATTAGTTATGCACAATGGTCAGAGGCAATAAAGGACACTTGAAAAGACAGCAAAGTCACCTGCCCACAGAGGAAATGTCTGAATGCTGTCAGCAATTGTGTAGCACAAAGAAACACAATTTATAAGTATTCAAAATAATCTCACATGTAGCTATGATGACTTCATTATATATAATCCTTCAAAAATAACCAAGTCCCATTCTCTGCAGCCACCGCTCCACCGGCCTATGTGACATTCAGCTGTGAAAAAAACACTCTGCTTTTAAAGAAACCAGCACACATTTCACTCTGCTAGCAGTGGATTACATCACCTGAAAATTGCAGGCCTCATCATCTGCTCCTGAGGTTTGGGTATCCACCTGCTAATTACCCAGTCTTGCCCATGTACATAGAGAGTTTTTGATAGCTTCAGTAAAAGAGAGCTAAGCATTGCCAGACAGAGGGAAACACCATTATGTCAACTCAGGCATGCAAAAGATAATTATGCATGTCAGGGTAAATCATCAGGCTTGCTGCCTGGGGAATAAGGTAAGAAAATCCTACAAAGCTCTTGTCTTGCAACACATCTGACTTCACACAAGAGCATATTTTAACTAGATTAAAGGAATTTTTATTTGTTCTAGATGAAACACTGGAAGGAAATAAATACCTTTCACTGGGGTAACAACAGTTTTTAACTAACCCCAACATAATATAACTGGTTTTAATTTCTGGTTGGAATTTCCCAGTGTGCAAGAGATCTATTGCCTATTGGTGCATCACTGCGCAACTCCAAGTCTGGTTCTGCCTTCTTACTTTTCTTCTTTCTTCTTTAAAGTGCCGTTAGGCACTTGAAGACAGTAAAAATATTCCCCTTTTCTTCTGAAGACTGAACAAACCTAATGCTTCAACTTATTTTGGGTTACACGTCTCTGCTTACAGCTAGCTCAGCCGAATTCCATGGAAGATCCACTCACCTTCACTGCTAGGAACAGCCTCTATGACCTCCTGAATTAATTTCTTTTCATTCAGCTTGAAGGCCATGATGATGGCCATAGTGTACTCCTTCTGGCGCAGTGTTTTGTGTATGTTGCTGGGTGTGACATCAACATCCAGCTCAAAAGGATCAAAAATCAGTCCAGAGTCCAGTGAATAGATCAGAAGACCCTCTGTGGTGGTGGCTGCCCAGCTTCGTCCTAGAAGACAAGTAACGATATTTAACAAATATTTAATGAAGATGGGTCTTCTAGAATGGAAACACAAGACTAAGGATGAACAGATGACTGTTTGTTTGCATTTGTTTGCAAGAAGTGGGTAAGATTGAAAACTGCACCTTGGATGGACCTGTCAGCAAGGACAATGTTTGTAAGAAACACCAGCTCAAGGTGACACACACTTAAGTTTCCTAAATTACGCCCTGCACAGAAAACCAGTCTCTGAACCTAGCAGCACTATGCTACATCTGCAAAGATCTCCAGGGCATTTGCACTT